GAAGGACACCTGGCAGTCCAAGAGCAAAAAGGGTTAGGGTCTGACAAAGGAAGTAATCAGGCATACTCAATGATGATTGAGGAGCGGCCCATTTTCAAAAGCCCAAAAATCTACCTGGATTGTTGGGTTTAAAATGTAATAGAAGGATCCTTTTCCCTTTTAAACAGTCAGAATGTTCCAGGTGGAGTCTGGAACAAATCACTTCAAACAAAATCAAAAGAACTGAAGATCAATGGGAGTTGGTGATCTTCAGATACGGAAAAGGAAGAGAAGACACTTTGGTGAAAACAGCGGTGAGAAGCACAGAAACCGATGCTGCCTGGATCTCCAACGTAAGAGAGAACGCTTTGGTAGGTTGCGATCAATCTATGGAGGGAGATGAAGCTTCGATCCAGAAGGAAGAGGACAGCTCTATGTCATTGGGCTTTGATCAGGCAAAGAAAGCCTTGACCAATACCCCAAAAGAGGTCAGCGAATAAGAGCTCAGGGTGGAGAAGGAGAATCAGGATTTGAGTGGGAGTACTACAGTGGATTCAGGAGGGAGTTCAGGGAGTAACAATGGAGGCGCTGTTAGTGGTTCACTCCTCCAGGCTGAACAAAACAACTCTGATAAATGGCTATATGAGGAAGTGAAGGTTGGAAGATTAGGTGAGGATCTAGGACGAAAAAGGGTGATAGAGAATGTGACAATTAACTCAGTTCAAGAGTGTCACAAGAAACTGCATGGGGCCAGGAATTCACACATCATTCACGTAACCAAGGTCTTCTCTCATTTGAAGCCTGGTTTGGTGGGGGATAGGACCTACAAAAAATTACAAAAAGGTCTACAAAAGAAGAGGAAGGAAGGCATTGGTAGCTCCACACCCGGAAGAGGATGGTAAGACGAACACTCAGGTGGTTCTTACAAATTTGATCTCTCAGTTGAAGTAAGTGATCCCGTTAAAAGCCTAGAAAAGGAGGAGAGGTTTAGAAGAGTCCCATCAAGAAAGTTGTGGAGAGAGAAGTCAAAATAGGTACAAGTCTTGGTCTATACTTTGGGGGGGCAAGGAATTTGCCAAGAGGGCCTTTGAGGAGTTCCAGAGAAAGAGGACAGAAGAGAGGCTGAAGAAATTGGAAGCTAGAGAAAGAGGAGACAAGTGGGATGAAGAAGATGATGGGTAGGACGAAAGTTTCAAGGAAGATGATTAGGAAGCCTTGGCATTTGGGCTTTGCTTCAGGGTCACTCAATTAGGAGCAAGGTGCAGGTGGTCATCTTGGAGTTTTTTTTCTTTGTTTTGAATATATTTGGTATGTCAGTGTCTTTGGGTGTATTTGCCTTTTAGTGTTTGTCTTTTCTCTCGGGTGATTTCTTGTCACCTCTCTCTGTATTCTCTTTTTATTTTAATGAATTTTCTTTGATCCTTCAAAAAAAAATAACCTGTTCCAGGTCCATGGTATTGTCACTTTTGAATTACACCAAACATCCTTAGCACCATCAAGAATTCCTTCATATAATTTCATTTTGTCAACTCATAATTCCTCAAGATAGATTTAATAACTTTACTCCCTCCTAAGTTATCAATTACATCTAAAAGGTGTATTCTCCATCCCAACGGTATCACTTTAAATGATGCTAAAATCATCACCCTGCCAGCTTTTTAGTTCTGAAATCCCATTGATTATTTAAGTGATCAACCAAGGATCCTTCTAAACTTGTAGCACACAACTGCTTAAAACAACAACTCCCACGTTTTTGGATGAAAAGCCTTGGATGTTACCTGGGCTGCTGCTCCATGTTCATTTTGTAAACCTCCATTAAATAAAAAAGCATTTCTGACAAGAAATTGTAATAGTTGATTATTTATTAGCAGTAATTGAAAAGGTTGAGAAAAAGAAAATATCTTCATATGGTGCTCGTTGATCTAGAAAAGGCCTGGAGAAATAATATGGTGGGCCTTGGAAAAGAAAGGGGTTCAAAATAGGTATATAGACCTAATTACCTAATTAGGGATATGTATGAGGGGGAAACAACCAATGTTAGAACATCAGTGGAAGAGGCTTCAGATTTTACAGCTAAGATGGATCTTCACCAAGGTTTAGCACTTAGCCCTTATCTATTTGCAATGATCATAGATGAATTGACTAAATAATTCAGAAAGAAATCCCATGGTGCATGTTGTTTGCGGATGACATTGTTTTAATTGATGAAATTAATGAAGGATTAAATGAAAAATTAAGCTTATGGACAACAGGACAAATGCCCTAAAACAAGAGGTTTTAAAATAAGTAGAATTAAAACAAAGCATATGACATGTAAAATTAGTAATAATATAAGTTTAAATCAGGATACAATTAGGCTTGGAGAGTGACTATTTCCATCCCTTGGTTTAATAATTCATAACAAGGGAGAGATCGAGGAGGATGTCACCCAAAGAATTAGAGCTGGATGTCATCCAATACCTTGCATTTAATCCTTCATTGTTTTAATTGATGAAACTAATGAAGGATTGAATGAAAAATTAAGCCTATGGACAAATGCCCTAAAACAAGAGGTTGTAATATAAGTAGAACTAAAACAATGTATATGACATGTAAGTTTAGTAATAATGGTAGTGCAAATCAGGATACAGTTAGGATTGGAGAGTGACCATTTCCAATACCTTGGTTCAATAATTTATACCAAAGGAGAGATTGAGGATGATGTCACCCAAAGAATTAGTGCTGGTTGGGCAAAATGGAGGTGTGCATCAGGACTTTTATATGATAGAAGAATACCATTTAAGAGTAAAAGAAAATTTCTATAAAACAGTTGTAAGGCCAACTATGTTGTATGAATTAGAGTGTTGGACAGTCAAGAAACAACATGTTCAAACAAGGAGTGTGGCAGAAATGTGAATGCTAAAATGGATAAGTGGAAAAACAAGAAATGATAGGATCAGGAATGAAGCCATTTGTAGAAACCTAGGAGTAACTCCAATAAGTGATAAAATGAGAAAGAGTAGACTAAGATGGTTTCGTCATGTGCCTAGAAGACCACCAACAGCTCCAATTAGAAGAAGTGATTTGTTACAAGTGGAGATAGGGGTAGATCAAAAAGAACATGGGTAGAAGTAGTAAGAAATTATTTAATCACTAAATAATTTAACAATGGATATAGTTTTAAATAGAACAGAATGGCAAAAAATGATTCATGTAGCCAACACCATATAGTTGGGATAAGGCATGGATGATGATGATGAACTGAAATGATAATTTTTAAGAAAATAATTTTTCTACAAGAGAGAATGTCCTTAGGGTAAGTCAATGAATGATGATATGAAACCTAGATCTTCATAATTGTGATCTCATAGGTTTAAAGCATCATGCAAACGATTGCATACTTTAAGGCTGTGTTTGGTTTGAAGGAAAAGATAGGGAAAGGAAGAGAAAGGTAAGGAAACCTATACAAACCAAATACAGCCTAAGAGTTAGACTTTCAATATTGGTTTTCCTAGTGTTATGATGACATGTGAAAGGAGTAAGCACTTAAAATACAGAATGGAACAAGTTCCAATTACTATGACATGATGCAAAAGCCTTCCTTCACCACATAGAGTGGTTTTTTTTTTATCAGAAACGATAACTTTCATTAGAGATAAATTAAACTGAAATACAGAATTCAACCCTTATTAGAAAAGGTTGATCCAATAAACATCAAACATTACAGAACTGCCCAATAAAGACTCTCCCTTACAGTCCCTTGTTTTGCTAGGGTGTCAGCAAAACCATTTGCTAATCTCCTTACCCACTTGAACCAAACACTCACCTCCCTTGTTATGCTAAGAATTTCCCTTATCAGCTGTCTGTATTGCCAAATTCCCAACTGCCCTGATTGCATCCACTCAATTACCAACTTGGAGTCTCCCTCTATCTCAATCTGCCATAGCCCCAATTGTTTGGCCAGTTTTACACCTTGATGTAGTGCCAAGATTTCCGCTCTTAAGGAATCTCCAACTCCTATTGGACCTGAAAACAAAGCCATTATCTCTGAAAACACCTCCTATACCATATGGGCCTGGATTACCTATAGAGCTTCCATCAAAGTTCARTTTSACCCTTTGTTKTGCYRGTGGGGACCAAACTTCCTGTATCATAGCTTTGGAAGTAGTAGTAGATGCCACAATACCCCATAATCACATAGAGTGGTTATCATTAATTTCTACAAGCTTAGAAACAGGAATCGGAACCTGATGTGTGTCCGGAGGAATCTGTCTCAGGGAGATGGAAAAACAAGGATTTGAGGAGACATGTCGAAAAGTATAACTATTAAAATAGTCTATATATACCTTTTTTTCAAATTCCAACACTACATACCTATAGGAAAAGGTTTAGAAGTTTATCTTTGTACCATAATAACATTTTATAGGAAAAATATCATCCATTGTGTAGTTCATTCATGTCAAGAATCAAAGGAATGTAGGAATCAGACAACAGACATGTTCCCAACACGGACACTTCATCCATTTAGGAGAGTACATGCTACACTACTTCTGAGTAACTTTAGAACTCCATCCTGTATCAATATAACCATCTCGAAAGAGCCGATTGAGGTATTAAGGATTAAAGAAAATTCTACACATCGAAGGATGTTTCACTAAAAACGATCTGCAGGTGCATTTTAAAAAATAGTCCGTTAGCCGGCACAATACATGGTCCCAAGATGGTGGACAAATGGGAAGGGGAACATATACACTTAAAAAAGATGTGTAAGAGCAACAAAACCGGGATTTTCGACACTATAAGACAGATAGCTCGTCCACATATTCATATTTCTATGTTTTTCATTCAAATATTTCTTAAGTGAATATTAGACAAAATAATCCCTATTATGAATTCACATATGGAAAAAATATGAGGTTTCATTGGCTTAAATCTTTGCCCTATGAAACCCTAGGTTCAAACTCAAGCAATTTGATTGGCAAATATAAAATTAAACATTTTCATATCCTCGCAACGATGATGGTGTAGATTGAGAGAGTTACGGGCAGTAGGATTTGGAGAAGACGGCGATCCTGTTGGAGTATATGACGTTCTGTACGAATGCGGAGGCCGAGTTGGAGGCGAGCGCTGAGTTCGGTGAGGATGAGAAGAAAATCCCAACAATTAGAAGAAGAACCATAGGAGATGAGCCGACGACACCTATCGACCTTCTCATCGTCTTCTATCTACCACAGTTTGGCGTTCCAGAGAGTAATTTTTCACTCGTCTTAGACCATTGTGTGTAAAATTCCGACCAGGGCGGGAAACGGCCCAGCTCGGCTGTAGATAGGAGGACTTGGGTGAGACACACACAATTGGTAGTTGACGCACAATTCCGCAATTCGCTGCGGTGCGCGAGATGAGTTTGGATCAGATACCAACAAACGGTGCCAACAACGCCCCAACAAGCAACCGTACATAAAAACATGTCACATGAATGAGGACATATTTTATGCAACCGCAATGGTTTGTTGGAATAATGTTGAGAGCGTATCTTATCTTATTTTATGCAACCGCAATGTTTTCTCCGTGCGCTAAATGGAATTTACTCGTGTGAATAGATCAATGATCGCACCAGAGAGAAACCCAACCGTGTGAGTAGATCGCATGTAGCATGTAAACATGCACCGTAGCTCACATTGCATGAATAACACGTGTTCCACTTTTCTCCTCTCTCTTCCCTGTTTATCTTTCCACTGCCCCCTCTCTCTCTTTCTCCGCTTCCTCTTCCCACTCTACCTCTCATCCTATTTCATCACTTCCCTCACTCTCTTCCTCTATCTTTTTTAGCTTTTTTCTGTGGTTTGGTTTCTTATTTGCATGCTTGAGCAGCCTTCTCCGTTGAAGAAACCCTAAGTCTAGCAGTTCGGGTTTCTTATTTTTTGTTCTAAATGAAACCCTCTTTTCCCCTGATTTTAGCTCAGTTGATAAAGTGAAGGACTGGGAATGGGTTTGTCGCTACTTTGAATCTGGTAGGTCTGGTTTTTTATTTTATTTTATTTTGTGTTCATGATTTTCTCTATTTTTGTTCTGAGGATTTGGGTTTATGGTGCCATGAAGAGTATTACTGTTTGTTTTTTGATTGTAGGGGTTTATTTGGCTTTTCCCTTAATTTTGCTGGTTCTCTTTGTTTTCCGATTGTAGGGGTTTTTGCTGACGTTGGAAAGGTTGATTTCCATTGTAATGGATTGTAATACTATTTGCTTTTGTATTATAGGGGTTTGGTTGGATTTTCTCGCATAATTTGTTGCATTTGGGTTCTTAATATTACTATTTGTTTTCTCAATGCGGTTACGTTCTTTTGAAAATTTTCCTTTTCATTTTTTTTTCAAATTTTTCTGACTTGAATTTTTGGTTTTGTGGCTGGTTCTGAGTTTTGTTTCTTGTACTAGCACTAGTGCCCCACAGTGACCTTCTTGCTAACAAATGTCTTTGGTAACTTCTGATTTAATTTCCACTATCTTTATAATTTCTGATTTAATTTCCATTGTTCTACCAAAAAAATCCCATTCGCATTTTTGTTTATTGATTTAATTTGTTTTCCATTTTTTAAAGTGTCTCTTTTGGTTTGTATTGCAGGCTACGCTTATTGTAGAGTTGTTGCTGGTTTCGGTTGGTGTTTCAACTTTTCTTTTGTAGTTTGTACTCCGATTTGGCAGTTGTTTAGTTTTTTCCTAGGGTTCCTACATGGTACATCTATGTTCCTTGGTTTTATTCGTTTTGATCTATTACTAAACAGGTGCAGGAAAAAGTTTTTTGACCACTATTTTCATTTGGTTCACCTCTGTTTTTTGTATTTGGAACATTTGGAAATTTAAGAAATTTTGCTATTGTATATTTATTTCACATGTCATTGCTTCAACCCTTGTTTATGCAATTTCTACATATCTACTCCATGGATCATGATTAGGTCTATGCTTCAAAAAGGGCTTCTTCTTTCTGTATGATTCATGTTTTCCCTTAATTTGTTGTCTATTTAATTATTTGTTCTTATTTGATTCCAGTTTATTAAATTGTTTCTTGCTTGCTTGGTTATTTGATTTATGTTTTGTTGGGTATTTTATTTAATTGTTTTTTGCTTATTTGATTTGTGTTTTTGCAAGGTATTTTATTTCTTGGCATTTATATTTGGCTTTTGTTTTCTTTGATATTTCCTAGTTTTCTTTATTCCCACTACCTTTGTAATTTATGATTTAATTTAGTTGGATCTATGTATTGCCATTAGGGGTAGCCAATGGATGCATTAGGTTGGTTTGTGTTGGAGATGGAGGTTGAAGGCTAACCAATCCATCCACCATTCGCCCATGTTAAATTGTCAATTATGTGACTGATGGTATGTTAAATTAATTGCGGGTTGGTGTTTATTTGTGATTTAATTCCATTGCATTTCTCATATAAAGATATAGGTTTCAATTACCCCCCCCCCTTATGGAATGCTTTTGTCTCTTTTAAGTGATAAGTTTGCATTGCACATTTCTATATCTGTTTGTAATAATAATAATTTCACTATTTTCTTTTAAATGTTTTTAGCTCCCCTCCACAAAAGCTTATTAAGAGACAGAAGCAATAAACTTTTTAATAGTTCAATCATTTCACCATCGGTTTTGATTTTTGTTCCTTTTTCGATGTTTTGGATGATTTGTTGTTTAAAATAGGGCTTTGCAGTATTTATTTTTAGTTCAATTGAATAGGGTTTTAGTTCTCATTTGTTTTGTATTTAGATGAAATCATGATTTTAGGGTTTCTTTGTTTAAGTTGGGTTGGGGTGTTTATAGGGGCTTCAACAATATAGGGCCGAAACATGATTTCATCTTTTGTTGTCTCTCTATGTCTTCCTTTTTGTTAAATTTTCTGATGCTTTTGTTTGTGAAAGTTTGGATTTTGGGCTTTTAGCAATATAGTATTTTCAGAGTTTAACATCAAATTACTGGTTTTGTTATTTTAATCCAAACTGATACAATTTGGATTTTGATGCTTTTGTTTGTTATTTTAATCTATTTGCTTTGTGATCTTTCAGATTTAAGTTGAGGAGAAAGAGGGAACATCTCCATCTTTGGGCTTAGAGGCAGGTTC